AACAAATCTCAATTCTTGCCTGTTTAGCTCCAGACAATAGTCAGTACCAAATATAAAAATATTTTATTTATTTTGCATGTCTAGATAGTAATTGGAAAACATTTTGCATTTCTTACGATTTACTTACACTAACACTGTAATGAAAGTGATAGAGTTGTGCTATTTCCTTTATTCATTTCTTAAGCTGTTATTTTCTTAACTTTTTTTTTTAATTTTTTTGTAAGCTGAATTATTTTGTTGAGTGTGGTGATGTTTTTTGGTTTTGATAAAAAACAATTCAGCATCTGCTTTTTCTAAAATGTATCTCCCTTTAAATGCTTCCTTTAAAAATCTTTAAAGGTTTGAGGGAATGCTGTAATCCTTGTCAGCTTATTAAAAATTTTTTTTGGTGAAGAGTGTTCCACAAACGTACAAGTCTGGGAGGGTTGCAGCATTATGCAAGTTAGATTTCAAATATGAAATATTAGGCTTTTATGATCTTATTAAAATACAATATAATAAAACAATCATAGAATTTATTTTGAGAGTCCTCAAACAATGAGCTTTGATGTTTAGGGAAATCTAGATATTGCCAGTTTCGTGATTACTGTGCTGCTAAATGGCATGCTTGCTACTGTTTTTCCTCTGTGTGAAATACTTTTTCCAATAATAAAATTGAAACTGTCCCTGGAGTATCTAATTCATGTTTGTGTCAGATATCTACAACATTATAGTATTTTTCTGCTACAGGATCCTGAAAAGAGTGCATCTGCTTCCATCAAATTGGATGAACTGAGGAATCAGGAAATTGTGCCTGATTCAGTGTGTTTTATTACAAAAAGATATTGCAAAGAAAAGAAAATAACCAGAAAAAAGAGGAACTTCCATGAGGAAACTAATACCAGTGAAGAAAACCCAGTGCTTTCTGATGAGAAAGAGGTGACATGCATTGCTTGGTTTTGTCTCCCCTTCCTCCGAGCGTAATTTAAACACATTTGATTTCTTTTTTACCACCATTTAGAGATGGTATACATTTATATATGTGTGTGTGTATATATATATATAAGAATTTCATATGCAATGTTCTGGTATTGGACTTATGTACTTTCTAGCACTTACTTTTCTCTACCTTAACTATGTGCTATTCCATAATAAACAGACATTACTTGCTAGTCATTGCTTCAAGGAAATAAATTCCTCTAAGAAATATACTATACTAAGCACTTTATTTGAGTGTAAGGGTGCTTTTACCTAGTTCATCATAGTATTCTGAATATTAAGGTAGTTTCAGAATTTATCTAAAATAAGGCTGTTCTCACCTTTTTAATACAGAAAAAATAATCAGAAGTTGCACCATTGCCTAAACTTCACAATTTTTTTTTTTATTGTGAGTGTTGTATGACTGAGGGAGAGGAAGTTTCAAGGTGAGATGGACGTAGAATTCTTTTTCTCTAGAGTTACAAGGAGTGGGTAAACTGTCTGAAAGACTTTTACTGACCTAAGGAGGGAAATGAAGAGTGTTAGAAAATTGTACAGTAACCAAAGCTCCAACAGTGAAAAGTAACATACCCAGTGAATTTATTTTTACTTGCGAATAATTATTTCTTGTCAATAAAGGCAATTTTATACTAAAATGTTGGAGCTGTGCAGGTGAAAGCTTTCTAATATATCTGTTTGTGAAGTAACAGGGTAAGTATTTCACAGGTTAATTCAGGTTGGAGTTCAGAAAATCTCAGTCTCCCAACCAAAGCAGACTCAATTGTAAGGTTAGACCACAGTGCTTAAGGCTTTATCTAATCTCATGTTGAAAACCCCTGACATGGAGGCTATGCAACTCACTGGGCAACCTGTTCCACTGATTCAGTGTTCTCAGAAAAGCAGACTTTCTTTGGAACAGAAAGGAACAAACAATTGGAAGAAACTGTTTGAATGAAGTATGTTTAAATTGCAGGTGCATTCTGAAATGAAAGAAAACGAAGTGCCTCAGGATGAGCATGAAAAGGGACAGAAGGTATTCCAAAACAAGAAACAAGTAACCAAAAAGAGGGCTATTGAGAATGCAGGGATGGGTACTGGTCAGAAGAAACAAGCCAAGAAGACTTCTACTAAAATCAGGGGAGAGGAATGTAAGTACAAAATTGAAAAAAGCAACTTTAATAATTTGTACTACTTAAAATAACCAAAAAGTACATTTTATTTTGTTATGAAGATTTTTGTGGCATGTCTGGTGATTAGTACTTTATTTGGGGATAGCAGAAGAAAATATGTCTGTTTTTTTTTCTACATATTGTTACATAAACCCACAAATTCTGCACTGTAGCAATTCTGCTGGCTTTGACTTCAGAACTCTGGACCTGATGTTTTCAGTGAAGGAGTTCTGAAAGGTCTGAGTGCATTTGAGTCTTGCACTTCCGAAAGGATCAGTGCCTTTTGGAATATCCCTGAGGTTGTTACTTGGCTCCTTTAACAGCTGGTAAGGAAAGGAGAGCTTGCTTCCTAAGGCTTCATTTATCTTTTCCTACAGATGAACAGTTTTATCTTGTTTTTCCCAGGAGTAAAATTAGTAGAAAAGAACGTACAGACAGAATCCTTTATAATTGGTTTGAACTACCTAACTGTATCTATATTCCAGTGCATCATTTTTCCATCTGGTGGTTTTTTTAGTCCTTCAAACATGATACCACTGCAAATATTAATTAATTTATCCCCCACTCCGTTGTGTATGCAGCTGACAGGAAGAAATGAGTTCGTCTAATCAATCTGATACTTGACAGATCCACAATACCAATAAATTAAGATATATATACCTTTATTTGCTCTGGTTAGGCTATGTGTATAGTCTGTAAGCTGGATTATGGATATTCTTGCTGTTCAGTAGAATTTATAAGGACAATCTTATGGGAGACCACTTATAATTTTGAAACTAGCTTAGTAGGATTTTCAATGAAGGTTATTTTTAAAAACAGAAGCAATAGAGTATTGTGGAGGATGCTTGGGTTGAGGCAGCATTCATCCTGACAGCTGGTACAGTACTCATATCTTCCTGTAACCGTAGTTATAAGTGTCTGTACTACTTTCTATGTTGTGTTTTTGTGTTTTGGGGCTTTTTTTTGTGGTTTTCTTTGCTTGGTTTGGGTTTTTCTCCCAGTAATTTCAGAGCGAGAGTTGTTACAGGCGAATACTATGTCTGCATTTAATGTTAATAAGGTGATTTTTCAACAATTATTTTCAACAACACCCGATTATTTTCTTCTAATGAGGATTTCTTTCAATATATTAGGGTCATCCATGTTTACTTTTAAGGGGATGTGAAGGAACAGAAAAACAAATGTTTGCTTTTTATATGCAAATGCTGAACTTGATGTGAAGTCTTTACCTGATTTTTTTTTTTTAATTAATCAGTAAAATGTGAACATGAGCTTAATAATATACTTGAGAGCAGAGAGAAAAAGAAGAACTCAGACTCTCTGTATGTATATAAGGCAGTGGCAGAAAAGCTGGGCAAAAGGTATTTCTTCTTTATTATCAACATTTAAAAACCATAGATGAAGACCTGTGAATTTAAAAGTTGCTTTTGCTTACCACAAGCACAGTTCTCTTTTTAACTTTCACTGTAAAATACTTTATTGTCATAAGATACTAACCTCACAGGACTGTAAGATTCATGCTGGGCTTGTAGTTTGTCAAGACATGCTATTACTGACAAACCAATTAAAACACTTTGGAGAGACTTAAGACATATTCCAGCTCTTTTTATTTCTCAAAACCTGAACCCACTTTGAGGAGATAAGGTGTGTTTTGGAACAAATTCTTTTAAAACCATTGTGATGACTTTAAAATGTTTTCCAGGAGTTCTAATGATTTTGTTCAATCTTACTGTACCAGGTGATGCTCATCATGCAGGAGGGAAGACCCCTTTATCTGTAGGCCATGCATCTAGGTCTGCAAAAACAGGGATGAAAGCTACTACACCAAGTAAGATAACCTACCATCTTTAGAAATAGATGTGTTTTAATGTGTGTAAAGGGAGACTTGACTTAGTTTTTTATAACTCAGATTTCTATTTTTGCTCAAAGAAGAGAACATCCTCTCTTTAAAAATCAAACAAAAAAATTTCCCAAAGGTTACATTTTAAGGTACTTATTCCAACTTGTAAATTCAAAGTAGTAAATGACTGGCATGTATATTATAAAACTGTTACTGAACATTTTGATGTCTTTTGGATATAATACTTGCATTAATGATTTTCAAAGAGCAGGAAGACATGCTATTACTCCTGCTTGTTTATTTTTCACTTTATAAATACTACTGTTCTGCTGTATTACTATGTATTAGTTTATTTTCATCACTTCTTAAAATGCATTCATTAGTTTAAATTTAGAAGTACTTACTGTTCTCTTTAACTGCAGAATGTGGGGGTTAGATGATCTTTAAAGGTCTCTTCTAACCAAAACCGTTCTGTGATTCTATCATTCTCTGGAGCATGCACCAGGTAACTGGTCACATAGCTGGTGAAATAGGTTCTTTTTCGTTCTGTTTGGCCAGGTGTGTATGCAGAGGGATACTTTTTCTTTGAGACCTTAACAATAGGTGTTGCAAAATTCTCCTATTAAGTATTAAACTTCCTTAGAGCATATTAGATCTGTGAATCTTCTTTCTTAGACTTTAAAAAGTTGCACGAGGCTCACTTCAAGAACTTGGAATCTATTGCTGACTACATGGAGAGAAAAAAAAAAAGGCATGAAAACTGTACCAGTTCGCTCAGCACAGTCAAGGTAACTGATAACAGAGGAGGATATCTGTTGTTCCCATATTCATTTATTTCCAGGGCCTCTCTGTAAGACTGTCTCTGTCTTAGAGTCTCTTTAGAGCAGTAAGTATCTGGTCACGTGAACAAACAGCAGAATGTTATGATGAATGAAATTTAACTTAGTTCCATATAATTAATTATATATAGTTATTTGTATATAACATTGTTTTGCCAAGAGACGAGAGACAGCACAAGAGACACAGACACGAACTTTAAAGAACAAGTGTATAAATTTACTGTAGTTCAAAACAGCAAAGAATTACAAAAGGATAAGCTTGGCAATGCACCTGATCATTACTACAAAGAGTGTGTATAGTGATTGAGAAAGATACATCACCAGTTACCCTTTAATGCAACATCATCCAGATCCACATGTCAGCTGGGGAGCCCCAATTGCAGCGAAGGGTTGGAGAACCACTCCCGGTAACTGGGAAATCCTACGCAGTGCGTCTACTCGTAGGTGAGGCTTCCATCTTCACTGTGAAAAGGGCTCGTGAAAAAAGCTTTTATACTGGTAAACAAACATGCTTACATCACTGCTTAGTGCGGAAAAACATCTGAATTTCTTATCTCCTGGGGTTTCATCCAAAGCCTGGCCAGGGCTCAGAGAAAAATCAAGGGAGTCAATTTGTACTATTTAATGTTGAACAAGGCCAGCCATCTACTTCCATGGCCTTGACGAGTCTCTAAATTCAGAAGCATAGATACATTCATATTTCATTAATGAATAGATAGAAATCTTCGCTAATAAGCAGATACCTATATCTTACTAACAAGCATACATGTCTACACAGATGTAGTCTTATCATACTATATATTTTACTAATGATTATACAGAATTTTGGCTAATAAGCAGATACATAACTAAATATAACATTAGGTTGGAAGGTTCATCTAGAGGTCAGCTCTGGCTCAGGGCCTGTTGTTCAGGCCTCAGCACTTCAAATACATATGTTATATAACTTTTTATATATTAACAGTGTATAGCTATAGGAACCAACAAATAACTTGTTTGTTTGGAGTTAAAATAATTATGTCACAACTACTTCTGTGGAAGATCTCCTGGAGCTTTTGTTTACAACTGTTTGAATTGCTGTGGAACTTAACTCAAAGGGATAGGCTGTCTTTCAAAGAGCAGGAATTAAATATTCATTTCGTCTTTTGTGCCTTAAAGAACTATTGTCCAATGGCTGCATATAACTCTCCTTTGAAATATATGCAATATATATTGTTCTTAATGTCCCTGACACTCACTTCTTACATTTAACCCTCGCATGGGTCAAAGCTGCTAACAGGGCCTCTTGCAAGTGTGGCAGACCCTAGAGAAGTGACAGTAATGCATCAATGAATATATAAATATGTCAATGGATATGGAATTGTTCAGGTTGGAAAAGACCTTTAAGATTGTCGACTCCAACCATTATCCTAGCACTGCCAAGTCCATATCAAAACAGTAACACTGAAACTCCTGAGCACTACGTTTCTTTATGGCATACATGTATCAATGCATACTTGAGACAGATTACTGTTGGCAGGTGCTGAACATCCCTTAAAAGCATCAGAAAAGGAACTCCATATAACAGTTCTAAGGTATGTGTTTTCGGATCAGGATCAGTTTAAAAACAATAAAACTATTTATGTTTAAAATATGCGTTTAAAGAGAGAAAAGGGAAAAAAACTGAAGAGGCTATGCTTATGATTCGCTGTGTATTTTCCTCTTGACTGCTTTTCAGATAAATTTTTAGCAGAGTCTGGTAACTCATTATTTGATTTTTCCCTAGAAACGAACCAGTGGCAAAGCACTTTTATTCAGCCCAAATCCTGTAAGAGGTAGATTCTCTACCACCTGCACTCCTGGTAACCTTCGGCGCTCACCACGCAATTCCCTGAATGCTGCAAATCGGAGTATTTTATCCCAGAAATCTTCATTTAATCCTTATGTTCTTTCAACATCCAAAATGAATGTCAGGTAAAAAGAACAAAACAAAACTAACAGCAAGCCATTTGATACAATACACATGAAATAATTAACACTGACTGTGATTTTACTATATTATTTCTATTCTAAACATGAACTGTGCAAGACTAATTCTGATTACTAACTTTTAGCCTAGCATTATGGCTGGCTTAAGCCTTACTGTGCTGTTACTATCTTCCTTCTTCGTTTTTATGTCTGTTGACAGCAGAATCTCACATCTCAGCTTCCATTTTGCTAAACCAGGCAAGCAAATTATTTTTCTTACTGTGTTAGGTTTTCCATTTTGTCAGACAACCTATTGGTGTCTGTTATATCTAAATTAATTTATCTTTGAGATTTCTTAATCAGAACTGTATTCAGTACTCCAGGTGAGTCTTGCAATGGACTCAGCATTTAGGGTTTTTATCTACTCACTTCCTTTTGTCCTCTATTTCCCCTCCCTCTCACTGTCACAGCAGGGATTGTCTTGTGATTGACTACTATAAGCAGATTGTTTCTAGCAGATGGGAACTAAGTTCATACTAGTAAGTCATGAGGAATTGCTAAATGAATGAACTCATACTCAATGCTACTATCTTATCTCGTTTCCTTTTAAAACATCATGTGTATGTCATTATTCCTCCACAGTAATCTAATTCTCTATTAATGTTTGTTTCGTGAACTTGTTATCAGAAAAATTATTAATAAGCTAATAAAATTTACTGAAGTCTTAATCAAGAAACCTTTTAAAAGAAGGAATCAAAAGGACAGACTTTATGGTATTGCATTGACAAATGTCCTTTTTCTTGGTTTTCTTTTTAGTGAGTCCTTGTCTGTACTATTCCTTAGTTGATTTTTAACTATTATACGAATTCTGACTTTAATCATTTTACTAAACTTTCCACAGTGACTGAAGTTCTGATTAGACATTCTCCCTTGCTAACAATACATGGTTGTTCTCAGGTCTTGGTTGTGTTACTGTCCATTTCTCTGATGACCTTCACTTTTCAACTTTTGCATGCCAATGCTGGGGCAAAAAGCTGCTGGGGCTTTTTGTCCCTGAATAAAGTGTATGTGGTGTTGTTATTGTGAAGTCAGACAATGCAACTTCTAATATTGATAACTGATAATATAGAATTATGTGACTGGAATGCAGGTCTTTTGCTGTTCAAAGGTCAAAATCAAGTTTATAAACTTACTAGCTTTGTTTCTACTTTAAAAGTCCTCTTTTTGATTTCAGTAAATAACAACAAATGAAAAAAGTAACCATTCCCCCTCTAGTGTCTTATTGGATGATCTTTGTCTCCACTGCAGCCCTCGTTGATGCTTAGCAATATGTAATCCATTGATCCAAAGATGCACTGAGGTGGATCTTGCAAGCTGTACTTCATCATAAACTTGCTAGCCCACAAAACATAGCCTTCTTCAACATATACTCACTGTCTTTCCAAATCTTGCAGGCTTTTAGCTTATTCTCAGTACCTTTTTGATAAGGGTGTTACTTCATGCGTGCAAGATTTTGAATTTTCTTTCTTATGTATGTGTACACATACATGTGTATTCACACATACACATGAAAAATGTGTATATACACATATGCATGCAGCATGCACGTGCATCTTGGTATGCAAGTAACGTGTGTTCTGACTAAAATTTTGAGCTTCATCTTGTAGATCTTTGAGTTGCAGCATTCTGTTAATATTCTTTCTTAATTTGGATTTTAAAACTAACAATAGTGACATGTAATGCTTTACTACAGAATCCAAATATAAAGTAAATCATATCTATTGGTGAAGAAATCTACTGTCTTATGGCATCCAAATACATTTGCTCTCCAAAATAACAAGCGATCGAGTTCTTTGTAATTCCTAATATCCTTTACTGCTATTGATGATGGCTCATAACTTGAAAACTGTTATACCAGGAAGGCATTTTAGTGCAGTTGATACATAAGCTGTGAATATCTTATATATGCAAGAATATCTTATATATGTAAGAAAAGCAGAATGCAGAACTTTCTGTATTCTGGCACGTTGCTTACATTCCTTGTAGGTGACTAAATTTGTCTTCATATTTCTAACTATTTTCAGGTTCTCAGAAGCCACAAAAGATAATGAGCACAAACGCTCTCTTACCAAGACTCCATCTCGAATGTCTCCATACATGCAGGAGATTTGCACACCTGACACTCAAAAGAACTGCAAACCAATAAGTCAGAAAAACAGCAAGGGAAATAATGATCTGGCTGCACCAAAGGGTAAAGTGGATGGTGAATATTTGGCTCTTTCAGATCAAGACTTTTGTCATAGTGAATTATTATATAAATTTTTAATAACACAATGTCATGTAGTCCTAGGTCTTAATTTAATTCTCTATTTTATGACTGGTTCTTTAGAAACTGCAGTGTTTTGTTTCATTTGTTTTCCAGTGGCTTGAGTAAAATGGTTGGGTGCCAAGACGTAAACATACGGTGCCTGGCTACCTATAGAAAACAGGATAGTAAATCATCTAGACCTTTAGGGACTACATAGCAAAAGACTGATATTGCAGATACAGGGAGACCCTGTCTGTGGTGACAGGAGTTCCCAATGCCTTCTCAGAGATCTCATTCTCCTTGTGGAGTTAGCATGCCTTAGGCTTTTAGCTGTGTTTTAGGACAACCAGCCTCAGAAACTCTGATTAACTCCCAAACTAAAACTTAGAAAAACTGTAAGTCTTCTGATTGCTAAGAATCTTTGCACCAGCACAGCTCCACTATCTAGCCATTGATATCCTTAGTATCACTGGCCTATTGGCACAGGCCAAGAACCCAGAGCTTCTTGGTTTGCTCTGTAACAATATTAATGTTTTTAAGGGGAAAACAAAGCTCCATGCTGATCTGAAGCTGATCTGTTCCAAAGGAATGCTTCTTTGTTTAATGTGAAAAGCCACCCAGTTCCACATAGAGACTAGGAAACACAATTTGCTCAGAAGTATTAGCAAAACAGATGAAGCTGCATATGCTCTTGGATAGTATAATCATACCAAAAAGGCTAGTACTCTGCAACTCTTGCCCTCTCCAAACCTGGAAACTCCCTATTTCAGGCAAGCTGTATTTGTGCAATTCTATTGTTAGAGGTAGCAGACAGTAGCATTTAATGGCTCTTTGGTCTTGATAATTGTAAGATGGTCTTCACAGGCACTTCCCAACTTTTGTGTGTACAGCATTTCTCTTGTTACTATAATAACAATATTGTGACGCCTTTTGTAGTTATCACTCCCTTCAAGTTTGGAGCTCAATCTGCAGAACCCCCAAGCGCAAAAAAGACATTTGATCTCAAAGCAAGTCTCTCGAGGCCACTTCGGTATCAGCCACATAAAGGTACTGTGATCCTTTGCAGCTCCTGTTGGTCACACCCCTTAGACTCAGCTGCTGGCAGGGAGTACTCAGGGAGGCATTGATACAAATTGTGATACCAAAGTTTATAGTCTCTTTTCCTGTCCCTTTTCCTTTCTCTCTGGATTCCCACACAGTCTGTGGACTGATGTTAGATTTCTACATAACATATGCTTCAAGAGCTTTGCTACTGAAGATTAAGACTTTATGACTAAAAGCCCATCAATACAAGAATAAGCATCCTTGTGTTCCACTGAATGATGTTATGTACAAGAAATAGGAAACATTCCTTACATAATTAGACTTTTTTTTTTTTTGAAGTGCACTATTTGAGAAGCTGAACTCTGTGTGGTGAGTTCTAAGTGCAGTCATCTTTTTCTACTTTTAGAAGGACTACTTGTAGGGAATGGGCTGGTGAAACTGATAATGCAGCTTGAAAATGCATTTCATCTTCAAGTCAAACAGCGAAAAACAGGCTAGCTAGGATAAAATTCATGATAAGAAGTTAAACACACAGTTACAAAACTAGTAAAGTAGTTTCTCTTTTTGCCCCTAAATTGTAGGACGACTAAAACCGTGGGGAGAATTTAAAGAAAACACTGTCCTCAATAAGTCTGGTGGTAGCAATATCTCTTCACGTAAGAAAGATTACAAACAGCCGCATCTCCAGACAAGGTTTGTACACCACTAGTCTTTGTATGAGTAGTGTTACTTAAAATAATATGACTCATTCTTCTTGAGATTTAAATATACAGTGCAGGAAACAATCCTTTCGTATTAAAGCTATTTTGGTTTCCAATGACTGTTCAATATCAGGAAGGCCAGCAAGGATGGCTGCTCTGAATTTGTTAGACTTTATTTTCCATGACAGTTATCAGTTCTAGTGTTTGGAGATTTACCTTCACCTTGGAAGAAGCTGGCAACAGACATGTTGCTACCTTGACTGTTAGACCTTTATGTCTAAGAAGTATTAGCCTGAATGTGTGTTCAGTCCCAAACGGTACTGTTCTCTCTAGCTATGGCAAATGCAGCACACTGATAAAAATAGTATTAAGCCCCAGTCAGTTTCAGATTCCTTTGGTTGCTTGTGTCTCTAGCTTTAATATAACTTGATATGGTCCATCTCTCTTCTTTTTCCCCTTTAGGGAAGAAAGGCGTGAGAAACATGAGCAAGAGAGAAAAAAGAAAAAGGCTCAGGCTCTCGGAAACCGTAGAGGAGTATCTGTGTGTTAGGATGAATAAGAAGTATCTAAGAAATCACTGTAAATACCGGTCCTGTCATGTAAATAATTGTGCTGTCTGTATGGTTCAGGTTGCTATCAGCTAGCGGAATCCAGAGAGCAATTCATGAGACCTTGTATCTGAGCATAATATTTCTGTGATCAACTTCTCCAGTGAGATGAGAGTTCTAGACTTTCAGGAGCTTAGACCTCTCTCTTGTTGCTTCATAGTGTTTCAACTAATTTAAATGAACATGTTAAAGAAGAAAATGTAAGTGAAAAAAAGATGCTCAAGAAGCCTCCCTGCAGAACAGACTTCTGCACCAGCATGCATTTGTTGCCTGCTAGAATGCAGGCTTTGGATAGCAAGCATCAAAATGTTCCACTTGTAAATTACAGGAATGGGAGATACCTATTCTCCAGATCAATCCTTAAATTCTCTAAAAGTTACAGCAATTATTCAGCATTTCTAATTGCATGCTTACGGCATAGTAGAGAATTTCAAAGAAGAAAAATATGCAAACTCTCTGGAAAACTAAAAGCTTGCAGCATAACGTAATTATAAGCTATCTTATTTTAAAAAAAGTCACAACTGAGAATTTACAAATTACCAACTGAATGCTTTGAACAGTTAAGGTTGTTTTGTTCCTTTCTATAGTAAATAGCAATGCTAACAAAATTCTTTTGCTTTTCATCCCTGTGATGCTTAAAAGAGATCGTAGTAGTGTTGGAGCACATTCAATACCTTAGATTTAAAAGCAGTTGTTGTTTTTACTTTTAAAAAATACATAGAAAAGCTTTCTGGATTTGTTATGGATAGAACTGGAAGAGTAATTTACCAGTTGTAATCTCAGATATTGACCAAATAAATGTTTCACTGAATTTAGTGTCCTATCAAATATATGTTGCCATGTCAAGAACAAGCAATTTTTTTAATGAAGTTAATGGGGAAGAAAATATTTTGTATATATCGTGTTTTCAATGGTTATATCATCTAGTGTACTATCTATAACTGCTTCCTTAGTGTAGCAGTAGTTTTGTTCACACTTGTATTTACTACTCCATGTCTTTCATTGTGTCATGTTTTCCTTACCAACCAGCCTGCCTACCACTTCATGAAAGCATGTTTGGTCTGGTATCTTTAGAAATAATAACCCTCGCTCCTCTTTTGCACTTAAGCTGTTGAATTCTGTGCAAAAGGAAAATGATAGTACAAGATATTGTTTCAGCTTGCTTTATTGTGGTCACTCCCATATAAAACACAGGTACATTTAATATTTGTAAAATATATTTCAAAAATATACTTTATATATATTTAGTATATATATATTAAGTGGAGAAGGTCAGTGCTTGGTTAGACTAAATTTGTGACAGCTGAAACAAGACCATTCAGCACTTATTTTGTAAAGTGTTTCTTGAATTACTGAAAATTAAACTTCTTGGAAAAAAGGAGGTATTGAGCTTCTGTGCCAGCAGCTGAGGCTGTGACTTCTTGCACCAGAGGTGAGTTAGGCTAATTGCACATATCAGAAGTGTGAGCTGCTCTGCCCTGTAATGGTGCTACTCAAACCAAGCTGTGACTCCTCAGGGAGCAGACAGTGCTGGGGATTTCCTCCCAACCCTCCCTTAGAGCATTACTTCTCTCCAACAACCTTAGCTCTGTAACGCTGTAGGATTATCCTCACGAGCTCTAAAGGAAAACCCAAGCCTGCGGCATAGCTACTGTTTCAATCTTGGCAGCAGCAGATTTTTCTTTTTTTAGCTATCCCGAGGAGTCAAAGCTAAAGGTTGCAATACTTCAGTCTTTTCCACTTCTGGTGCTGCCGTTTGTAAATTTCAGCAGCTGAGTCACACTTAAGCACCAGTCCTCAGGGGATAAATTCTCATCAGACTTTTTTTTGGTTTAAAACTAGCAGGTTCAAGTGTTTTACAACTGTCAGCAAACCATGTAATGTATAAAATGAAAGTGGTGTACAAAAAAATAACTGCAACAAACTCATGAAATACTTTTTATTTTAGTAAGGGTCAGGATGGAAGCTAAAACTTACCCAGGGAAGAGTTACTACTTCGTAAGAACACATCACAACTCCCCTCAGGCTATGTGCAGTAAATGTCTGTACAGTCTTTCCAGGATTCTGTATTTGGAAGCTTCAAGATGCCAGTGGTGTCACACTTCAGGCACTTATCTCTTTAAAGTTTACAGAGGATCTTCAAGTTGTTATAAGCCACATGTTAAGAAGTATTTTATAAAAATGAACCAAATATCTGAAGAATGTCCCAAAGGAGACCAGCCCACCTTAGACTGGAGTATTCTTGTCATACATTTCATAGGCAAATTCTTCTGTATGAGCTCTGTCATTTAACAAGCCAATAAAATCTATCTCCAGCTGGAACGGACCATCTACTTTATCTCCGATTGTGAATCCAAGGGTACTAATCTAATTAAAAGACACATAGAACAGTATTTATAATGTTACAGTCAAACCCAATTGTACCTCTCACTCCATACTTTACAAACAAGTCATGGCCATTTATTTTAAACTGGTATTTGTTCAAAATGCAACAGCCTTTCTTAAGGCTTGAACACTTCCCCATTTTTAATACAGACTCCTGTAGGAAATGGATTCACATTTGTCTTTCTACCGCTCTGTATGGCCAGTTTCATCATGACTGGGTTTATAAACACATTTTCTTATAAAGTCAGGTACAATTCTTTTGTGAGTTGGAAAGATAAAGATCTAATTAAGGACAGAAAGGATCATACTAAACCAGATGTGTTAAAAAGCATGAAACTTAAATACTGAGTTTAATAGTAACACAAGGTTCTTACCCACTGTTTCCCAATTAGAATAATGTTCTTAAAAATAAGAACATTGTTTATTCCTTTCCCTAATGTTCTCCACCACTACTCCCATTTAAAAAAATAGAATTATTCTAACTGCAGTAACTTCCCTAAAAATCTGTGTGGCTCAGGCATGATTTCTATTAGCCTGTGGCTTGCCCAAAAGCTCCCTCAGGTCTTATATGTTATGAAACACTTTTCAGAGACTCCAGTGTTAACAGTTCTATGGTAAATTGAGTCACCAGTGCAGGCCACCTCCTGAACTCGAGCTGCCCTGAAGCCCTGCTAGAAGTGCAGGTCTGAGCAGTGCCATGATTTTAAGAACTGCTGTACATTCAGGAAAATAATGTTGTGTCAGATGAATAATTGTCCAAGTCTAAACATATATTGCAAATGTATGTCAAATAAACAATAGAACAAAACTAAATAAATTAAATGCATTGACATTCCTCTTGGACTATTCTAATGCTTTAAATTCTACCCTCCTAGCCAGCTCTACAAACAGCCTCTTGGCTTCTGAAGCCTGGAGAGTTTTAAAGCTCCATCTTTCCAATTCACATTGCAGATGACTACTGGAGGCACCTAAACTCTTTGATCTGAAGAATCTATTCCTTTGCAGGCCCTAGATACCTTGGCTGTTCCCTGCTTTCTTATTCCTATTTAACAATTATTTCCTGCCTTCCCTGGTTCCTAGGAAAACATATAGTAGTACCCTGAGGGCCGTTCACTTAAGAGTTGGACTCCATGATCCTTATGAATCCCTTCCAACTCCAAATATTCTGTGGGATTCTGTGTGTGACCAAGACATCACGATTTCATAAATTGCCATCACCTTGCTTCCTTGCTTTTTGGGTTTCTTTAAAATATGTGTGTAAAATTACACTGCAAGTGCATAATTTTTACTGTGAAATACTATGCATAAGAACCATGAACAAAAATAAAGTGTAGGATGCTTAGATCAAGTATTGTTTAGTCCCTTTAACTCCTAGTAAATATTTTTAAACACCCCATATACAACCCTATGTTTTCATTTACCACTTTGAATGACTGTATATTTCAAATACTGACAAATTCTTCAGTGGCCATATTTAAACATAGGCCTTTTGTAACAACTTTCTTCAATAATGCATATTTTTTTCTTGTAGCTGATCTACCTTCTTCAGATCATTCATACTTGCTTTCTACAGCCTCAACTTCTGTTTTAAAGCAGATTGTTTTCATGCTGTCCATCACTGAATTACCCTCAAATTTTTTGGTTTTTTTTTCATTAAGGCAATTAGGAACTGAATGCACATTTCAGGTGACTAACACTGATTCAAGTAATGGCCCTTTTATTTTCTTCCCATATATATTTCTAACATTGTTTGTTTCCCTTTTGGTGGTCACTGGGTATTTGGCTATTAAGCTGCCCTCAATTACATACAGGAGGATCACTGAATTTTAAAAGAAAAAAAAGATTCAGAAACAATTTTTTCATCATGTTTCCTCTGAATCAGTCTACCCATTTTGAGAAATAAATAAAAATACTCAATGCATTTACTTAGACTAGAAAGCCTGAAAAAAAAACCAAAATAGCCTATAAACACATCAGTTTACGGTTCGTGTCAAGGTCACTGATATAGTACATCCTCAGATAAATGATACCACAATATGATATCCTTGACAGTCTTCTGTATCATAAAGAAAATTTATGATACTTCTACTACTTTTGGCAGTACCGTGCCAACCAGTATTTGAGATTGCTTAGTCACATTGATCACTAAACACACACACACACAAAAAAAAATTGTTGAAAAGCTAAGTGCATTGTGAGTTGTTTCTTGGTTATATAAATCTTCTTAAAATATTTTTTGAGCACCTATGAAGTAAACTGACACTGCTATCACAAAGTAGGATAATTTAAGTGCAAAGGCAAGCACACAAGAAAATACCTTATAAGAAGAAGAGGCCCTTCAATTTTAAATTCAGAAATATTGAAGGATTTTTACATTATCTATATCATGCCAATATGATCTTAAAGGAAGTTCTGAGTTTCTTACAGAGCAGTTGTGTGTTCCTCATACTGCCTTTTCAAATGAAATTTCAGACAGAGAAAACTTATAGAAAACTTGCCTTGTCTAGCCAGATAGGATGCTGGCTATCCTGGACTCTTCCCCGACTGGAGAGAAAGAATTTGGAGAACGGAATCTGACATACACACAACAAAACAAGACTTTAGTTTCACCAGTACATAAAACAGACACTCAAGGAAATAAAAAAGCCTGTCTTAGTTAAAAAAAAAAAATATCACTGCTACAGCTGGTATCAGCATTAGTTGGGTAGATAAAACTGGCACAAAGAAACGTGCCAACATTAACTCTTTCAAACGGCCAGTCGCAGCCAGCGCCGGGCCATCCTGTTCTGCAGTGGCTGTAGCCATCCAGCAGGGTGTTACCCTGTTAGGACACAGCGAGGGGCTACAGCACAGAAGGTGGCTGTTTACATCTCCTTGGAGATGTAAAGGAGAATATCTCCTTCCAATAACATGTCAACATAAACCAGAAATTATTGAAAAGTCTGGCATGTGTGCACATTGGCAGCTCCCGTGTACCCAGGCTGTGGATTTCATAGTGCAAACTTCGTACTGAGACATCGGTACTCCAGCAAAGCAATTCAGAATAATGTAGAAATTACTTTGAATGCAGTGGGAGCAAGAAAGGAGGGCTGGCTGGTGAGGGTGAGAGGAAAACAACCAAGCCAGCAATGACACACTGACTTTCATCCTCCTGACTCCTCATCCGTGAAACAGTGGGCTGTTCCCGTATGTTTGGACAATGGTATTATGAAGCACTCAAAGCCAATTCGTAAGGATGTGCAAACCTCCTTATCATTGTCATCAGCCAATTACGAAAGGTCCCCAAGTCGCATCAGAAAAGAGCTGCAACTCACGCTTTTTAAAAATATTATTTTGTGTCACAGATTCAAGGGTCACAGGTTCAAGGGTCACAAATGACAAACCACACCTCTGAGTCTCTGATTGACTCCAGCAAGGCTGCGGATTAAGCAAATCCTGTCACAGGGAACAAATCCTACACCAGCCTATGCCCATTTGTATTATAGATAAAAGGGTTATCACAGAGAATATTCATGGCAACACCTGCTAAGCTTCAACTGCTATATCTATCCTAATACTTCAGTAATAGCCAACAGCAGGCATTTAAGCGAACATATAGTGGATGAAATCTTTAATACAACTGACACAGCAGGCCCTCCCACAATCCAATTTTGGGAACTTCCAAGCCAAAGGCACGTATCTGTTGTATAACAAATACATTGAATGGACAGCAATAGAAATAAACTGTGACTGTTGAAAGAATTCCCCTTCCACAGTATTTCGGCCAGGACCCCAAGACAGTTTTATTAGTTTGAAAGACTCATCAGTTTACCTTTATTTCCTCCCAGTATGGGCCTCCTCGGGTGAACATGAAGTAGTTGTAGAGGTCATCCTTCTGATGAGAGAAGTAAGGGTCTGTATAAATGTTTACCATCCAAGGTCTGCCATCACCACGGACACGTAAATACAAACTGTTGAAGTTTGACCAGTCATAATACTTCTTCCTTCTAAAAGATCCCTACAAATTATTAATAAATAGAATTATTTCTCCTTAATAAGGGAAACGTTTATTACGAAGAATAGAGCACTGTTGCTTTGATCACTGCCCTCATTATTATGAAAATTTTAGATTATTCTTTCATCACACTGGATGCTGAGCTCACTTGATTTCCTTCAGCACTGTATTAGAGAGCCCACAAATTACAATATTACCACCCTGAGGACTAATGCTTTCAATTATAAGCCACAATCTTTTAAGTATCGGAAATCAGACCTTCCTAGGACTGAATTCCCCACCAGGCAAGTATACAAATGCTACAGTGATGGATCAGTAGTTACATAGTTCATTAAGTTTAATGTAGTTCATTAAGTTTAATATTCTGTGGTCAGTTCTAGATTATTCAGAGATGATGACAGGAAATTGAAGAAGTGGGATAATTTATCCCCTGGAATAACCTCCCAATTGAAGACTAACATAAGCACTGGGAGCATTTAATGTTTTCCAACACTTTTTTTTCATTAATTGTGCAAAATGATACCAACTGCAAGCATGTCTAATTCTCAACTGCATTTTTTCCAGAGATCTGCATCTTTGTTGCCATTTGCATACAGGCAGATCCAAGAGAGTTACACTGAGGTCACTTAGAGCAAAGGTCAGGGTTATTCTTGACCAGAATTGCTTAAATGAAGTCAAAAGTAGCACCAAAAATTCAGATGTTTCCCCTTTATTTTACAGCACTACTATGGGTTACATATTGACTATCCTTCTACTAACTCATCTTGTAGGTAACAGTATGACTAGATCATCAATATATTAATACAAGGTCTGTAGCTATTTGATTTTATGGTTTTGACAGTTTTTAGCCTTTCTACTTAAATAAAGAAGAGTCTTTGTATTTATGTTTTCACCCTCCAATTTCAAACTGCCTTATAAAGATGGACTGATACACTTCACTACTTCAGAATTAGGAGGTCACATTTGCACAAATCAGTAGCAGTCATGAGAATTTAATTCAGACAAGATTCCACTTGTTGTTCCACTCGTCTGACCCGCTGTCACCATTGTAATTGGTTTTCTTCTGTTTCTCATTTACCCACTGATTTTGCCACTGATATGTTTTTTGCTGATATGTTCTTCTCTTCAAGATTCTGGCCCAGAAATTATCTTACCTGTGCAGCTGTGCCAAAACACAAACAGAACAAACTAAACAGTTAAGGATTTTAGACACTGAGTCAAAATGTTCCTTTGCTTTTAAAGGTACTTAGAAATAAGCAATGAAACAAGCAGTGTCAATAACAAGCACATCCATTTCTGGTTCTATTTTGCTCAATTCTGAGCTATCAAAGATCTGTGTCTCCCTTTTTCTGATGTACAGTAGGAGACAGACCTTTAAAAGTTCCATTCAAAGCATTCTTTTCTGTTCCTGTGAGAAAAAAAGATGAGCTTGTTCACCCTAACCAAGTTTGACGAAGAGACCAAGACAAAGCCCAGAAATTTTTTGCTTATGACACATTCAATTAACTTCAAATTTAAAGAGACATCTAATTTAATCATACTAATTCTGGATATAAAGATTCATTTAGACTCAGTGATCTTGGAGGTCCTTTCCAACCTTAATGATTCTATAATTATAGATCCTCTATTTGCAAGGATGCTGCAAACAGGTCTTTCTATGGCATATAAGTAAATGATCAAACACATATTATTCCTTTTCTAAGAAAGGAAAACAAAATCCAAGAAAAATTTTACATTCCTTCCAGGTCAAAGAATACAGCAGCAATGACATCCCTGAAAGAATATCTAATCAGTTTCAACTGTAGTAAACAGCAGGCTACTTGCTAGCACAGGGATTACACAAACATGCCCTCAGATTCAGTCACAAAGCTGTGCAAACATGGAGCTGTACTTACCAGTCGTGGTTTAGCTCTCATACTACAATATCCACTGTATTTTGTCTCCCCATCACGAGGTGCTTCCGTATTGAGGGTTCCGTACAGCAGAGCACCCTGGTTATTCCTACCCAATTTGAGGTAAACTTCACTTTTCCCTCCAATCTCTACATCAGAGGAAATAACCCATTTATTTAAATCTTCTTGGCTCCGAAACTGCCACAACACCCTCGTCTGTTCCAACAGGTACTGACTTAATGGACGGCCTTCAGGTCCTACTAAGTGATTTTGGGTTTCCTCCTTCAGTAAGCTTAGCTGAGTCTTTAAGACATCAAAACCCTTCTTTAAGCTGAAATCAGCATTCTGCCACAATGTTTTTTTCTCAGGCTCTGCCCCTGGCCTCCTGTAGCTGCTGTACAGTTTTGAATGGCTCAGGAGAGGTCCAAGCAACTGGAGCAAAGTTTCGTGCCTGCAGCATCCACCACGTAAGGAAGCACTGTTCAGCAACATCATAGTCATATTGGTAAACCCGAAGAATTCACTTCCAATAAGGCAATTATTGGGTTGGAAATTATTTAAGAACAAAATCCAGAGCTGTCTTACTGTAGTTACCCGTAGCTGAGCTTCGCCTTTAATACAAAAAAGAAAAGGTTAAAAAAAATTGCATATAGGATGCTTTGTGAAATTTAATTTTTAAACTTGGTGTTAACTAGAAATCTAAGTCATTGGAAACAGGAATGAAAAAAACCATCAATAATTACACTTCCTCAGAGCTCTAGTTTATTTCTTGACTTCCACCCTCCTCCCACAATGTGAAATCCCTAGGGAAATAAGAAAACCCAGGTAAAACACTGCAAATAAAACTGAAAATAAAAAAAAAATAATTCCTGTTCTTCTCTTCCACTGTAAATAAGTTCAGGTGTCGTGAGCAACACCAGCAAAAGCAATCCAAGAAGGTTTCTAAAAGTTGATAGACAAAGTATTATCCCCTGCAAGAAACCCACAAATTCACAACAGGCAGACCCTGCTGCCACCAGAATGACAGTCTCATTTAACAGTCAGATGACAAGACTTTCCAGATAGGAAGTCCTGCAGCAGCCATCCTACATGCCTCATCCAGCTCCTTGCCCCCATCAATGTACAGAGACGATTGCCAAGACTGAAAAAATGAGCATGAAAGACTGCAAATCAATAAGGTGGTTTTTTAAATAAAGCTTTGGAAAAATTCTGAAAAACTTCTCTTTCCTTCTCCCTGTATCACTGTTGGTAGGAACAGCTATGCAACATTGCTATTCTCTAAGTCATAAAGAAGAGCCTCAACATTCAATGCTCTGTACAGAGGTTGTTACCTCTGACTCATAAAGTTAGACAGGTTTTTGGTTTTTCTTTTATTTTTTTAATGCCACAGAATAAATCCAAAAATTACGTCAAATGTGTTCAATTTCTCTGAGCTTTTAAGAATGGAGAACCCCACCTATACTGGCATTCCACATATATATTCGCTACATGCCTCCCTTTACCCACGGTAAAATCCACTATTGCTGTTCTCACACTCCAATTATATTGTGCACCGTGGGCTAAAGTTGCAGTGAAGGAATTCACATTTCGCTCCATCACGCATTCGGGAAGACTGGAGAAAAGTTCCCGAACAGGAAATCCTGGCTGCTGTCCTTGTTTCCCCCGAGTATCAAGGAGGAGATAAACGGCGAATTTTAATACATTTTACTTTTTCCCTTTACTTTTGCTGAAGACTTGCCCATCTATGGCAAGTCTTCAGCAGCTCGCCGGTGAAGCGCCACCACGACCCACCGCCCGGCAGTGCGACGCCTCGGCTTCAGCCGCGGCCCGAGCACCGGCAGGGATCCCGCCCACTCTCCCGACCCCGGCGGGCAGGGGCGAGGCTGGCACAGGGACACCAGCGGCCGCGGCCTGTCCCCGCAGAGCGGCCGCCTCGGCCCCTCCCGCTTCGTGACCGACAGACCCCGCACCGCCGCCGCCTCACCTTTCCGCCACCCCGGCGGGTCCGCTGCTCCCGGGCCCGCGGCGGAACGCGCACCGCGCCGCTTCTGTTCCGCCGCCAGCGGCGGCCGCAGCCGCTGATGTTCCGCCTGCTCCGGCGGCCGCGGTGCGATCCTTGGCGCGATCCTTGGCGCGATCCTTGGCGCGATCCTTGGCGCGATCTCCTCCCGCGATCTCCTCCCGCGATCTCCTCCCGCGATGCCTTCCCTCCGCGGGTCTCCGGGCGCCACAGGAGCGGCCGCGGACCGAGGCACGGGCACAGCTCGCAGCTCCGCGAGGGGAGAGCGGCGGCAGCCCCGCCCTGGCCCCGCCCCGCAGGCCGCGCATGCGCGGTGCCCTTTGTGTCGGGCGGGCGGGCGGCGCGGGTCAGGCCGGGCCGGGCCGTGCGAGCGCCGCCGCCGCCGCCGGGGCGGGGAGGGGGCACCGCGGCTCCGCCATGGTGAAGAAGCGGAAAGGCCGCGTCCTCATCGACTCCGACACTGAGGACAGCGGCAGCGAGGAGAACCTGGACCAGGTGCGCGGTCAGGCCCGACCCGAACGCTGGGCCTGGGCTCGCCGGCCCGCGCGGGGCTCGGCGCCGCCATCCCCCCCTCGCTCCCGCTCGGAGGTTCCGCGCCGCTCTCGCCTTCCTCAGCTCGATGAAACCCCGCAGCCGCCGAGGGAGAGCCCGCGCCCCTCCGGCGGGTCCCCGGCCCGCCCCTGGCAGGCGGCCCGCCCTGGCGGGGGCTCCTTGCCGCGGGCCCGGTGCTCGGCGCCGGCGGGACGGAGGGGCGATGGATGCCCAGGGGCGGTCTGGCCCTGAGGAGGGGTTAGAGAGGCCCGGCTGCTGGCGGTCTGAGTAGTACCCCTCGGGTAGTGGGGGAAGAGGCCCAAAGGGCTGGGCAACTTTTCGGTGCTGCTTTGGCAGCGGGAGAGCAGCGTGTCAGGTCCCTGCTCCCCTCCGAGCAGGCGGGCTCCCAGAGTGTTAATGCGTGTTTAATGTCCCCCCCCTCAGTCCTGGTGGGTGCGCTGGGGGAACCCTTTTGATGAGAAGCGGCATTGAGTTAGGAGACTATAGGTGTAACAAGAGCAAGTATTTATTTATTTATTTGTCATCAGGGCATCTCCCTGGGTTGTAAGTGCAATATCTGAACCGTGTCAGGGCTGCAAAGGGGGGCTCCTTCCTCTTTGGAGGGAGCTGCTTTTAAAGACTCATTTCTTGGTGTAGCAGGCACTGATGGTGCGATTCAAATTGTAAATAAAGACGTTATAGGTGAAGTGTGTTACAGCTTGTATGGCAGTGCTTGTTCCGAGAAGTTTAGCTGATTAAATATGCTAAAGCCTACATTGTCTGATGTAGTTTAATTGTTGGACCTTCAGGGTTTTTAATATAGAAGATGTTGCAATGTTTCAATAAAAAGCCTTCCCAAACACTCAAAAATAGTTTTGCAGCTTGGTGGATGCTCTGTTAGACAAATGCTCTGGAGCAGAGCATACCCTGGTGTGGTTGATCTTGCATACCTCTAGAGCCTTTAGAGCTGCCAGTATCTCCCTGCTAGCATATCAGTTTGATAGTTTCTTTAGAACTTGAAGACTGAAAGAGTTGGACTAGCTCTAGCATCAGTCAGGCAATCGGAGTGATGGTGGTAGGAATAACCACACGGCTCTGCATCTGTTCCATCACTCACTGGAAGCATCCATATGCAGCTGTACCTGAGTAATAGGTGCTTCCCCCTACACTCAGCTGTTTGTAGCAACTGTAATAGCAGGGATATGTGTAAAGATTAAGATTAAGTAGCGGGAAGCAATGTTTTTGTGGTGTGATTTAAGGGTGTGGGGATACTGAATTAAATGTCAAATACTGAGTTAACCCCTGTAGGTTAAATGTTTGACTTGCCTTAGCTTCTCCTGTTAATCTAGGCTTGTTGAATCAGAGGACTGGGAGCCTTTCTAATATGGTATCTTGGAAAACAAAATCAAGTGTAGAAAGAAAGAAGGAAAACTTCCTGGAATAAAAGTGGTATTCCACTTCAGGAACTTCCCAAAGAGAAGCACTACTGAAGCTCCTTCAGGAGCTTCCTGATGAGAGCTATTAATTGTACAAATGTTCTCTGTTGATGTTACGTGGCTTCTTCTGAGAAAAGTTGATAAAATGCCATTACTAATGGAAAGTTTCTTTGTTGGTAAAGTCGCCTAGGCCATCAGATTCTGCAGTGTTTATGTTCTCATTTGAGGTACTAAATTATAATCCATTTGTTGTGGAGATAATTTTCCAATTGAGAAGTTAATGCAAACCAATCTGGTATCGACTTCCCAAGACTGCAGAAGTTGGTGCGATTGCATTTCTACACATAGCTAAGGTTCATCAGCCCCAGAGCAATGTCTTTAAGAATAAATTATGTGTCATGGGTTACAAAGACAGTAATGCAGTCTCAAAAATGTTTTTTTGTACTACTACTTCTGACACCTGAGCAGGTTGTGAACAGCAGATGATGCAATTATTTGAGACATTTAGTTCTTTGTGCTGGTGTGTGCTGCCTTTGAAAGTGCTTCTATTTGTGGGAAACAGCTCTACTTAGATTTGCAGACTTTGAGCTTGATGACTGCTCTGTGTCTATCCAAACTTTTAAGTGCACTCAGTGATGTGTAGGGACAGTGAAAAGAAATTGAACAGGCTGGCTAAATATTATCAGCCATGACATTATGATGATGCCTAAAGTATTTCCCCTTTAAAGTGTATAATTGTAAACATCTCTTTTGTTTAGAAGGAGCTTTTTGGGTTAATGCTACACGGTGTATTTAGGGTGGCTTTGAATTACTACTCAATCCAAATAAAACAAATCTGGACATGACTCTGAAAGTAATTTGTCTTACATTATTTATACCAAAAAAGTAATGGTACTACGTTGTTCCCTAGTTAGTGGGAATAATCATGTTACTGGGGTGTGCCCAGATATTGCAGAGAAGGTGCATGTGCACCAACCTGGATTGGTAAAACTAATTATGACTCTTTGAAATAAATGTGTATGTTTTCACCACAGGAGCTCTTATCATTGGCCAAACGGAAACGCAGTGACTCTGAAGAAAAGGAACCACCTGTGAGCAAACCTACAGCATCTTCAGACTCTGAGACATCAGACAGTGATGATGAGGTGAGTTTGTCATATTATCAGTGAAATTACTATGTGTTGTTTTTCTGATTGTACCTAAGCAGTGAAAGTGCATTTATCATACAGTATATTTAGCCTGCTGACTTCATGAAGTGGGACTGGCCATCAGTGGAACTGATGGAGACCCATTCAGGCCAGAGGATGGGGTTTTTTTCTTTTTTCTTTTTTTTTTTTTTAATTAATATGCTTTGAATTCTAACTGTATACAAAATAGTTTGTCTACAGTAAAGATGACTGCTGGTTTAATCCCACATTCATATGGTCTGAGTGATTTGATGAGCTGCCTGCTTAAAACTAGTGTTTTTCCTGTGTCACACTTGCAGTTGAAGTAACAGTGAAGATGCTAAAGCTGGACTCTGAATTCAGGGAGAGAGGTTCTCAGCTTTAGAAGGGTCAGGGCAGGTGGTATTATTTTACAGGTAGTAAAATTGTCTTATTTAACTACCTTGATTCTCCAAGAACTGTGTGAACTAGCTGTCTGGCCATTTGGACATGCAAGAGGGTATGTTTTGACTGACATTTTTGAAGAAAGGGGCAGGAAAAAGTTTAGCATTAGTTTGTTGTAGGTGTTGTCAATTTCTTGTATAGCAGTGCTTACCTGCTGGATCTGGTTTTAGTATTTGTTCTTGGTACCACATTCTGGTTAAAAGCTGGTTAAAAGTCTCTGCTTTCATCTAGAAAGGAAAATTGAAATAGACTTATTAAAACAGAAACTGACAAACATGTTGTGTGGGTATTTGAGTAAAAACACTTTCTTGAAGGCACACAAATGTCTTTTGCAAGCTTTCAGCAAAGCATAGTGAGGTCATTTATTCCATCTATTCTTAAAAATTTAACAGGGAGGTGTTTGGTGTGGGTTTTTGTTTTTTTTTTTTTGTTTTTGAAAGTACAGGAAGGGTTATCTACTGTGAAGACCAATTGGATAGGCCAATGATAAACTATTAAGCATTTGACAGTATAGCAGAGTTCTTCCAATAAGTGTGAAGAATGTGTGAATTAATTTTCCTTCTGAAGCATTTTTGAAATAAATATGTTTGGAAGTCTATTTCAATCGATCCTTTTCTTAAAAAAAAGAGGTTCTTGTATCTGTGTTTAAGGCATAAAGAGAGAGAAAATTCTGAATGGGCCAGATATATTAGATTTGTTATTGGGTAACAGTCTGTCTCTGTGTTCAGCTCTGCTGGCACAATGTATTTATTCTAAGCTGTGTGGAGATCAGCTTGCTTGGGAAGGTGGACTTGAGTGTGAAGAGCATATGAATGATAAAGTTTTCCATTCTGTGTTTAGCTCTGAAAACTGATAGAATTTTAGCTTGTGTAATAAGGTCTACCTTTCCACTATATGTAGAATATGATAATGTATCTCTTCAGGAATTTGCAAATACCTTGTAGATGCAGTAGTGCCGCTGTTGCACCGGGTGCATTTGATACTCTTTCTAATCTCTGTATCATTTCTAATTGATACTCTGTTCTTTCTGACCTCCATGCAGCAAGAGGAAAAGATTTAGAGAAGAGGTAATTAGGACACGTGCTTCTATTCCTGTGCCTGAAATATGCATTCTGAACTACTGCTTGCCACAGCAGGGTGAGAGGCTGGGTTATAACACTTCTGCTTCTGCCAGTCGTTCAGTTGTGCGCATCCCTAGGCTTGACTACACTAGTACTGCTAAACAATTTTGGTTTTAATAAGTGTTCTTGGTGTTGGTTTGAAGTTTGTTCAACCTTCAGGGTTGGGAGAGAGGGTCTAAAAGTTGAAATTGTATTACTGGACTTCCTGCAAGATAAGGACCTTGAGGCAATAGCATGAAAATTGTTGCCCTGGGCAAATGTGCTAAATCATACCCATGTGCTTCTACATAGGTTTTGCAGTGTGCATGTCCTTTGTGGTTCCTAGAAAGTGCTAAATGTTCCAACAGTATGTTGCATGTACAGGAAAGGAGCCTAAATCCCTACTTCAGAGGATAATGCAGCATGCTGCATTTTTCAAAGAGGGGAAAGTTTGTGGGGCATAGAGGAGAGAAAAGCATTTTGGAATTACTGAATAACAGCATGTACAAATCATGCCGCATCTATACAATAGTGCCTGAGGGATTTCACTAGATCTTTAATGTTATGTTTATGTGTCTCAGTGAGAATGCACTTCTC